ATTTCTTTCCACCCCTCACCTCATTTGAGAGATGATGTACTATCATTTTACAGGTATATAAGTGGATCGCTAGAGGCTCTCAATCTTCTCGCCTTCTGCCAGTATGCTGAACGGCGCAGTTTATCGACGGGGGGGGCATTTTGCTTTCCATAGATGTGTCGACCCATCTAGGTAGCGTTTTCTTGAGTTGACACGTTTTGGGATGGTGGCTAGACGATCCTGCTCCAGCTTTACAAGAGTTCACAAGTTTTACCAAAGTGAGATTTGCAAACCGGAACAAGGGAAGCAGTGATAGTACAAAATGCCCCCGTCGACAACAGCGCTTGCTGTAACTATCGTGGTTTCATATAGTCTATAAACGACATCCTTGCATTGCATTCTTGGCATGATAGATATCGTTGCCACAATTCTTCTAGCCTTTACTGGATTGGATGGCTCTAATGGGGCTATGTTTGGGGTGTTGCGGTATCGCGCCCGCCCGCCCGCAAGTGTCCGACCGAATGCTCGTGCTCGTATCGCTTCATTGAGCGGAGGTGGTGTAGTGACAAGTGGCATGCTTATCACTCACGCGGTACTGGATTTAAATCCCGGGTCAACTCTCGCCCAGGCCTCCCACCCCAGGAGGTGGTAAATTGGTACCAGATTCGTCTGGGAGGATAAAACACTGACTTGTACATCGGCTGGCCCCGCAAGTCATTGTATAGGCCACATCGCATTCAATAAGCCACTACGATTCTGAATGGAAGTAGAATGCGTGCCGCATCCCACAAAGGGATTGATCAACGGCGAAGACTTTATCCTTTTCATCCTTCATAGCCGTTGGTATCCAGAACTGATAAGTCTTTATTTATACAAAATCAAGTTCAGTAACTATCCAACACATTCGATCACTTTTTGGCTGCCTTTTTACACACGTATTTCCGCATCTTCGTGTTGCACGCCACATCATTCCATTGCGTTTTGGAATTTTTGTAGTCGTCTTGAAGGATCTGAAAGCAGAAAGATTGCACTTGAAGAAACAGGAATGAGACATCTATGAAATTCATAGAAAACTGAACTGCTGGACTGACTTCTATTGATACGATGTTCCTATTATTTACGTCAAGAAATAAGCTTGTAAATAGCTCGATGACATTCTGGATACGTTTTTATAATTTTCATCTTCGGCGCGTCAATTTTCTACGCACGCTCCGGCGTACTGTAGGCGGAGTTGGATTGACCTTGCGTGCTGCTCGGTGTTAATGCTCATGTGTTGCATCGGCACTAGCCAAGTATGATCCTTGCCGCAGAAGTGATTTCACCCTAGCTTCGAGTAGGACACATTGCCACACCACCAGTGACACACACCAACTTCTGGTTTATACTACACACTATAGAGAGATTGCCTGATTTTTACCTTCCCCCCCCACCACAATCAAAAAATACAGTGGAATGAAAAAAAAACAAAATTTCATGAATATGCTCACTTCTACACAAGCGTACTTGCCCGGGTCCTTCTCGGGTTTTCCTTTCATCCAATTCATATAGCTCGTGTCGCTGCCATCAGTCCATGCCCACTTGTTCTGCTGAAACATAATCGCCTCAGATCTTCCGTTTATGGTCGGTCGTTTTTCCTCTTACTCTTCTCGTTACTGATCAGTATAAGCAATTGAACTGAACCTAATTAGACTTGTTATAACTTCATTCGCCTAACGTTCCAGCTTCTTGAGCTTTATCAGGGCTTGCATGCAGCAGAAGAGGAGAAAAAACCCGCCCTCTGTCCTGCTAGGCTAAATTTTGGGTGATTTTTTGCTAGGGTACTTGATCGAAAACTAATCCCATAAGTAGCTCGACCCCTGGACAGAAAAACCACTCCCGTTCCAAGCGAAAGGGCTTTGCATCGACGCCACAGGTAGCACCACAGACTCCAGCTCCAGAGATATTTTTGGCTCCAGCGTTCGCAGCGAGCGCACGAAGTCTATTTACGTCAAGTATTCAGGGGCTCAGGATACTCCCAGGGGCAAAGTTCAAACCGCACTGGCTCGCAGCGGAGAATTCCATCGAACTCTCGCTGGAATTTCGAGCAGTGGGGAAGTAAAGGGTGAATAAAGCTAGCAATTGATTTTTCCACTAAGAAATGCGGCCAGAACTTTACCACAAGGAAGTTTAACCCCATGAATGCAAATAATCCTCCTCGAGCGGAATCATCAGCAGTCAGGACCCTCTCTGCCGGGATCATATCCGGTT